ATTTTTGATCACTCTGAAAATGAAGACAAACTTAAGATGAATTTCTCTGTGAAGCTAATATATAACACATGATTATTTACCTTGAGCCAGCAGGCTACCTCATATAAATATCCTGATCTAGTTAGGTAAAGGCCATGAGGGAGAATTGGACAGAAGGGAACTTAACTGTATATGCTTTATATACATTACTGAAAATGCTACTCAAGTGTGAGGTTATAATTGTAATGATCTGTTAAAATGACACTCCTTAATGATTTTAGCATGTAGGGAAAACCAAATCCGAAAAATAATTTTTTTTCTGAAAATTGTGATTTTGGAAATTTGGGGTTTTTGACTTAAGAACTGCAGTGTTCTAATAGTTTTTTTAATGGAGTCTTTAGGGTTTTCTATATATAGTATCATGTCATCTGCAAATACTGTAAGTGTTCAAAGAAAAAAAACTCATCAATTTTTAAGGCAAAAAGACTGCAATTACTTTATTAAGATCTATAAATGGAATTCCCAAAGCAACCCCCTGCAACTGTTACAAAATAACAACTGTCCCAAATATAAATAGCAGCATTAACAAAGATTCTGGCAAATGCAGAGCAGTAAAGAAGAATGTTTAAATCCCTTCTTCCCATATCTGCCCCCCCATCAATTTAACTACTGTTAACATTTTGATGTCTTTCCTTCCATTTTTTTTTAAACACATAAATTTGGATCATGTTGCACCCATTTTTAAAAAGGGAACAGTAATGAGAACTGAGTAATATATGGAACTGTTAAATCACTGTATTGTACACCTGAAACTAATATAACACTATATGTTAACTACACTGGAATTAAAATTGAAAAAGGGGGGAAGACTAAATCATTAACAGTTTTTCATGTTACTAAAATTTATTAAAAATTTAATGGTTCTATAATATTCCATTTTATGAATAAAAGTCCTCCTATCTTTAATTCTAGATAAGCCTACATGTGACTCAGAAATGTAGCAGATATCTAAACTCTGAAAAGGTTTGCGGGTAAAGGCAAATCTAATATTACTATTTTTTTGCTTCCATGAGCAGACTTGGATGGGATTTGTTTCTTATGGGAAATTTATGTGATGCCAGTAAATACTTAACAGGCTGCCATATTTCAAAATATCTTCCCAAGCCAAGTAAAAGCAACGGGACTTGGAAATACTATGATTTTAAAAGTGCAAGACTGGCTCTTTAAAAACAAAAATCTAAAAGTAACTTCCAGTTACTTTCAGTAGGAAAGAACTGCAAATGTGTAAGGAGGCAAAACAGTTTTTCTCATTTATGGCTCCCACTCCATCCTAAGTTATAACAGCATCCCGTTTAACACTGAGGATTCGTAATTGTGAAGCATTACTTTTGTTACTGAATACAGGCAGGGAACATGCTATAACTGAACCGAATATGTATCCACAGAATGCCAAATAATCGTAGGAAAAGCTGATTATTTAAAAGCAAGCAAGAGATAATCTTTATCCTTTAGTCCCTGGCCACTCTTTTTGGCCAATCTTAACATCCAGATGCAGCAGGCCACAAGTTTCTCAGTATCTAGTCTGACGTGTCCTTCCTGAAAGTGGCCATTAGCTGTGTACACTGGACAGAAATGCAAATAACAGAAAGCCAAATTGGCAGGACACAAATTTGCCACAAGGTTTATCATCAACCCAAATGCATTACTTCCAACCACTCCCCCCCCCTTCATTTTCTTACAAGGAGCCTCCCAAGTACAGCCTGTAACAAGTTCTTCATTTTTTGAGAAACACAAAGAATACCCACTAACTATACAGGTTTTGGGGAAGGTGGCTTTTAATAGTCTTTATAAGATGCAGTAACAAAAAAAAAAAAAGAAAGGAAAACGAAAGGTTTGCCCCCCTGAGCATTTTGGTTAGCCACTTTTCTGTTTAATTCAACTTTCTGTGAACCATTATTCAACTTTTCAATGTATTCTTCCCTGAAATAGTACTTGAAAATAGACGCGATGTGCTGCAGGTACTTTTTAATGTTTGAGGAAGTGCTTCAGTTTGCACAACATCCTGATGCCTACAAACTCGGGGCCGGGGCCACCCTCTTTCCCTCATCTGCGGCTTTGGGGTAACCACTACTTTTTCCAAAATCTGATTCGTGGAACCCATCCCTTTCTTCACAGCTGGAACCCCTCTCCATCCCCCTACCCCGCTCCCCAGGCAGGCCCGCCCAGGGACCTAAGGCCGCCCAGAGGGTGCCGCCCAAGCCAGGCCCCCAGGTACTACCAGGGTGCACGTTGTCTCCGGCCCTCTCCACCTCCCGCCTCCCTCTGCTACCCCCCACCCCCCCTCTTGGCGGGGCACCACCTACTCTTGGCTTTGCTGAGGTGCAGGGAGTGGTCGGCGACCGAAACCCGGGACGCCTCCCCTGGGTACACTTGTCCACCCGCGTAGAAGTGGCATTCCTCTTCGCGGGTTCGGGGCCTCTCTTCTGCCTCCCAGCCTCGCAGAGCTCCGGCTGGCAGCAAGAAGAGCAGCAGCGGCAGCAGCAGCAGCCTTCGGCTCCGGCCACAGGCTGGAGTCGTTGCGGCTGGCGGCTGCAGCAGCGTCTCCATGACCATGCGAGCGCAAACACACGTCCCTTGGCGCGAGCGCGACTTCTCCCGCCGTCAGGGAGCTACAGCCGCGCGCCCGGAGCCCGCGTGAGCCGGGGCGCGGCCTCGCGAGACCTGCTCCGCCCCCACCCCGCCCCGGCCCCCACCTTGTTCCCTGCTCCACCCACTCCCTCTCCCCCCGCCACGTGGGCTCCAGCCCCGCCTGCGCGCCCCGAGCCGGAGTTTGCGCCTGCGCCCTGGGCTGGCCAGGGCCGGGGAGTTTAGCCGAACTCTTGTGGACGGAAGCCGCTCAGTGGCCTCGCGCGAGTGACCTGGAGCGCGCCGACTCTCTGTACAGTTTTAGATATCCTTCCACGCCTATCTCTTGGACAAAGCCTCACCACCGCACACCACCCCCAAAGTGAAACTAACCTATCTGCCTTTGAATGGCTTAAATTTTGTACTTCTCACAGTTACTCGGTTTTTCCTTGAAGCGATGTTTGTGAAAAGTGCCAGGACTACTTGCTCAAGCTACAGCCCTTTTAAGTCCCCGGAAAACTTGGGAGAAGAAAGGTCTCGCCATTTACTCTTCTCAAGCAGGCAAGAGCAAACAGGCAGTTTGGTGACTTAAGCCTGTCTCAAAGGTTTTTTGTTTTTCTTTTTAACTTAAAACTTGATAAGTTACCAGAAAACCAAACTTTCTCCCAACACAGCGTTGTTCCATCTTCTGATAATTACCCCATCACATTACAGGAGTCTTCGGCAGCCCTTAACGCTCCCCAGGATCCCTTCTAGCTTCCTGTGGGCCCTTGTCTTCTTTCTGAATCCCACAAAAGTCATCCTGTTTCCTCCATTAGACTGTCAGCTCCCTGGGGTTGAAATCGTTGCGTAATTCATCTTTGTTTCCCAAGGCACCTGGCACTCTGTGAGCATTTGCTATCGTAAGAACTTGATTTTCTAAATGACACCTAACGTTCCCAACAGCCTGTCTTAGCTTCCAGTTGCTTTCACATATTATATCCTTGTTCCTTGTAACAACCCTTTGAAGCAGATAGGAAACCTTATTTTTTCCAAGCTCAACCCTTACCCCAGTCCAGCCCATTGTATACCTTGGAAGAGTATGATGGGAATAGGGCTGAAGGTCCCTGGCACCCTACCCCCTCTTTCGCTCCCTCAGGCCCCCAGCTCCTACCCGACCCCGCGGGTCTTTGCGCCTGTGCTCTGGGGCCAGACCCTGGCCAGGTGGTTCCTAACCCCAGGAAGACCAATTTGTGGCGTCCACCGTGTCTCGTCCGCCCTCAGCATTGTTTTAGACGCTGCTCATCCTTGCAGGCCCATTTCTTCTACAAAGCCTAGATGGAGATGGCCTCCGGCCCTTGCTGGTGACTAGTCTTTTGCACTCAGCACTGTTTTAGATCCTCTCACCCTTCGGTGCCCACCTCTTGCCGGAAGCCTCGCTTCCGCATGCCAGCCTGCCTCCCCGCCAAAAGCTGAAACAAACCGTTCTGCCCTAGAAAGGCTTGCATTTTATACCTTTAACATTTACTCTCCTTTTCCTTGCAGTGAGCGGGTCAACAGCGATGACTCCCCCTCCCGTTGGATCCCTTTTACGTCCCGGGAAAACTTGAAGAAAGGTCTAACCTGAAAAGCCGTATCTGGAGACCATTTATTCTCATCCAGTGAGAAAGGACTCTTCCAGCAGGAAAGTCAGTTTGGTGACTTAAGACTGTCTCAAGGTGTGTATAATTTAAAAAAAATTAAGACTTGGTAAGTTCCTTGAGAACCCTTTCTCCCAGCAGTTAACCCCCTCACTCACCCATTTGTTAGGATGGCAGGTGAGAACTGGGGGGAGAGATACAACACACACCAGAAAGACAGTGGCCACTGGCAGCCCTTATGCCCCGCCCCCATCCTTTCAATCTTCCCCTGAGCTCTTGTCATTTTTCTGAATTCTGCAGAAGCCATCCTAACAGTTTGTCTTTCTTCTACTAGACAGCTCCCTGGGGTTGAAATCGATGTGTATTCATCTTTGTTTCCCAAGGCTCCTGGTACTCTGTGAGCGTTTGCTATCCTAAGCACTTGATTTTCTAAATGACACCCAATGTTCCCAACAGCCTGTCTTCGCTTCCAGTTGCTTTCACAAATTACATCCTTGGTCCTTGTGACAGCCCTTTGAGGCAATAGGAAACCTGCCCTTTCAGACTCATCTCTCACCCCAGTTCTGCCCATTTTATGCTCTGGTTTTTGTTTCCTGACACCTCTTTCTTGTGGGCAGAGAAGGAAAATATGAAGCTACCTCTCTTTTCTGAGGCGGGGGGTAAGCTTATTCTTACCCATAACATTGTCTGACAATTCTTCACTTTCCGGGGGGCCGTAGACAGGAGTCCTCTGACGAGGTTGCTCTCGTTGTTCCCATTCTTCTCCTTCCCTGGCCTCCTGTTCCACATGGAAGGGGAGCGGGATCCGAGCGGTTCGGGACTGAGCCCCAGGGATTCGGCTCAGGCCTATGCCCCGAGGTCGGCTTCGGTGATCCATGCTGACTGCTGGACAGCCACCAAGCCTCAGTGAATTCTAGGCCCTAGGCTGGGTCTCTACGTTTGAGAACTGGGAGAGGAAGCTTGAGGAGAGTGTTATTTCCTGACACCTCCGTTCTAGGCTGAGCTGAGGTGCCCCAGTTGGCAGCAAGGGCTGCCCACCAAGTGGGCCCAGCGACCTTCCTGCCCGCTGGTGAGAGTGGCCAGGGCGGCCAGCTCTCAGGCACAAACTGTGCTCCCCTTAGCTCCCCTGGAACTCCTTGGCAGAGGACATTCTAGGTGGCGGTTGCTCTGAATCCTTCTGTCCAATGAAAGCTCCTGAGCTCCTGCCTTGTGTAGGCAGACATTATGCTGTCACAGTGGCAGTCGTGAGGGAGCTGGAGGTGGGGGCCCTGCCCCCAGGGCACTGACCGTCCAGCTGGAGTCAGCTGCCCATAGTAATAATACAAAATTATCAGGCACGGAGGGGGTGGTTCTATATATAGGATGCATCTCAGAAACACCTGGGGAGCTTAAAAACATTCAAGCGTACCGACCAAGCCCTAGAAATGATTAAGAGGTCCTTTGGGGGGGGGGTCCCAGGCAGCTATGGCTTCACAACTTAGGACTCACTTCTGATGCATATGACAGGAGAAATGCTTTGTGACTTGGGAAGCTCGGTCATAAAAAGGATAGTTTCTGTCTTGCACTTAGATTACTCATTCTGGGGGAAGACTTTCTGTCCAAACTTTTTTTGAAGGAAAATTCCTAAAACATGTAATTTAAAATTTTAAAATGTATAATTCAGTGGTTTTAGCATAGTCATCATGTTGTGCTTTGTGCTCACCACTATTTAATTCCAGAACATTTCCGTCACCCCCCAAAAGAAACTTTATGCTTTTAGTAGTTAATTCCTCCTTTCCCTCTAGCCCTGGCAATGACTAATCTGCTTCCTCTCTCTATAGATTAGCCTATTCTGGACATCTCATATTCATATAAATGGAATCTTACAATGTGTGTCCCTTTGTGTCTGGTTTCTCTCACTTAAGTATAATGCTTTCAAGGCTCATCTGTGTTGTAGCGTGTACTGGTACTTCATTCCTTTTTTTTTTATTGTGGTAAAATATACATACCGGAATACCATTTTAACCATTAAGAGTATAGTTCAGCGACATTAAGTTTGTTCACATTGTTGTGCACTCAACTCCACAGTTTTTAGTATGCTTCAGATTTTTTCATCTTCCCAAATTGAAGCTATACCCATTAAACAGTAACTCTCCATTCTCTCCTCCCCTCAGCCCCTGGAAACCACCATTCTACTTTTCATCTCAGAATTTCACTACTGCTGGTACCTCATAAAGTAGAATCACATATTTATCTTTTTGTGTGTGGCTTCTTTCATTTAAGCTCAATGGTTTCCATGTTGTAGCATGTATTGATACTTCATTCTTTTTTGTGGCTGAATAGTATTCCATTGTATGGATGTACTAATTTTGTTTACCCACTCATAAATTGATGGGTTTTTAGGTTGTTTATCCTTTTATTTATTCATTCATTAATTCCTTTATGTATTTTAATCTCCATACCCAGCGTGGGGCATGAACCCATGACCCCAAGATCAAGAGTTGCATGCTCTACCGAATGAGCCAGCCAGGTGCCCTGGTTGTTTATACTTTTAGACTACTATGAAATAATGGTGCTATGAATATTCTTGTGCAAGGTTTTTTTAAATAAGATTTTATTTATTTATTTAGAGAGTGTGAGTTGCGGGGAGAGACATAGGGAGAGGGAGAGAGAGAATCTCAAGCACGCTCTGCGCCGAGTGCGGAGCCCGACTCAGGGCTCGATCCCACAACCCCGAGATCATGACCTGAGCCAAAATCGAGAGTCAGGTGCTCAACCAACTGAACTGCCCAGGTGCCCCTCGTGCAAGTTTTTATGTGAACATACGTTTTCAGCGCTCTTGGGTGTATATCTAAGACTATAATTGCTGGGCTATATGGTAACTCTATGTTGAACTTTTTAAAATACTGTCACAGTGTTTTCCAAAGCAGCTGTACGATTTTACAGTCATACCAGCAATGTGTGATGGGTCTGATTTCTCTACATCCTATTCAACAGCTGGTAGTTTACATTGTTTGGGTTATAGTCATCCTAGTGGATGTGAGCAGTATCTCATGGTGGTTTTGATTGGCATTTACCAAATGACTAATGATGTTGAACAACTTTTCTTGAGCTTATTGGTGATTTGTATATTGTCTTTGGAGGAATGTCTATGAAAATCTCTTACTCAGTTTTTTTAAAAGATTTTTATTTATTTATTTGTCAGAGAGAGAGAGCACAAGCAGGGGGAGCAGCAGAGGGAGAGGGAGAAGCAGGCTCCTCACTGAGCAAGGAGCCTGATGTGGGACTCAGTCCCAGGACCCTGGGATCATGACCTGAGCCAAAGGCAGACGCTTAATGACTGAGCCACCCAGGTGTCCCTCTTACTCAATTTTTTAAAGATTATTTGTGAGAGTGAGCAAGAGAGAGAGAGTGCATGAGTGGGGGAGGGGGAAAGGGAGGGGGGAGAAGCAGGCTCCCCGCTGAGCAGGGAGCCTGATGCG